TAAATAATATAACAGACCGAAATAATCAAGCGCATAAGCCAGGTAGTTGGTCAGTTGAGTGGGAAGTTCTGTATATAACGATGTCTTCAGCACGCGGACGCAAGTAGCTGTGCCGAGTGACCCTGATGATGGTAGTAATGGAGTGAGAGCAATCGTTTCATGTGCTGGCTCTGCTACAGAACTCCACAAGTGCTGCTGATACTGAGCAGATCTCTGCCTCTGCAGCTCTATGGAAAAGCCAAGCAATAAAGGATTTGTACTACAACAATGACATTTTCTTATATTCTGTAAGTTGAAAAATCAAGCTCCTTGGAGGCCAGCGTTCTATTATTATAATGTATAAGGTTCTATGGGTGTGTTTGATTCACAGGAAATGATGAAAGTGATTTTGACGCTTTCCAAATAAAAAAATTGCACAGCTTGGCACCTGCAATAAAGGACTTACCTCTCCGATGGGTGACGTGTCCAAACTCCACCGTCTTTAAGCAGCCCATGAAAAGTTTTTAGCATTTAACACTTTACACAATCGGGAGTGTTAGATGCCTATGTCCCCTGCTGTGCGCAGCAGATATAAAAACTTGATCAAGTTATGTATTCATTAAAAAAATTGTGTGTGACTCTAAATATATTTTTACTTACTATAATAAATACCTAAATTTGTCAAGATTAGGAATAGTCAGTACTCTGCATTAATCCAGAATCTGTTGTGTTGGACATTGTCATCCTTACACACAATGCACATGTGCGCAGGAGGTGACAGCACGGAGATGACATCACCAATATGCTACTACACCTTCACTGTCAAGTCGAAGGGCTGGGGTGGGTCCTGGGACAAGCTCTATGGCTTAAAGGAGAACTATGAGGTGAGTGATTTTCACTCACCTCATAATCTGAGCCGACCTGTGACAATGAGACTGTCACAGGCGGCACAGTAGATCGGGGAGTGAGCGAACACATACCGGTGCTTGCTCACTTCTCGATCCTGTGTCGGCAGAGAGCCGTGACGGGGGAGGGACTGGATTCCCCCCCTCGCCTGTCCGATCCTCCAGCGCTGACTGGCAGAACAGACGGGGGTGGGTACAGCTGGCTCTGCCTCTAGATAGGCAGAGCCAGCTGTCACTCACGCAGCTGGGTGGATCCAGACATTATTGTCGGGATCCGTTCCAGCTGCGGCGTCTCAGTATAACGCGAGCTGTAGCTCGCGGTATACTGAGCTTTGGGTGACGGGAGGACGCTAGTTTGTGTCCTCCGTTACCCTTAAGAGGCCTTAACTCCATAGTTCACCTTTAACTCTACTGTAGTCTGCAAGGAGGTCCAGCACCTAGGTTGCACTGTCTAGCAGGGAGATGACTGCCTGAGCTGAATTACAAAACCTTTGGCAGGTAACACAGTACACTATATGTCCAAAGATTTGAGAGATCTGACCATTACACCTACACTATATTGCCAAAAGTATTGGGACGCCGGCTTTTACACGCACATGAACTTTAATGGCATCCCAGTCTTAGGCCATAGGGTTCAATATTGAGTTGGCCTGCCCTTTGCCGCTATAACAGCTTCTAATCTTCTGGGAAGGCGTCCACAAGGTTTAGGAGTGTGTCTATGGGAATGTTGGACCATTTGTGAGGTCAGGTACTGATGTTGGAGGAGAAGGCCGGGCTCGCAGTCTCCGCTTTAATTCACCCAAAGGTGTTCTATGGGGTTGAGGTCAGGACTCTGTGCAGGCCAGTCAAGTTCCTCCACCCCAAACTCGCTCATCCATTTCTTTATGGACCTTGCTTTGTGCACTGGTGCGCAGTCATGTTGGAACAGGAAGGGGCCATCCCCAAACTGTTCCCACAAAGTTGGGAGCATGAAATTGTCGAAAATGTCTTGGCATGCTGATGCCTTAAGAGTTCCTTTTACTAGAACGAATGGGCCAAGCCCAACCCCTTTACACTTGGCACAATGCAGTCAGGCAAGTACCGTTCTCCTGGCAACCGCCAAACCCAGACACGTCCATCAGATTGCCAGACAGAGAAGCGTGATTCGTCACTCCAGAGAACACAACGCCACTCTAGAGTCCAGTGGCGGCGTGCTTTACACCACTACATCCGACGCTTTGCATGGCACTTGGTGATGTAAGGCTTGGATGCAGCTGCTCGGCCATGGAAACCCATTCCATGAAGCTCTCTACGCACTGTTATTGTGCCAATCTGAAGGCCACACGAAGTTTGGAGGTCTGTAGCTATTGACTCTGCAGACAGTTGGCGACTTCTGCGCACTGTGCGTCTCAGCATGCGCTGATCCCGCACTGTCATTTTAGGTGACCTACCACTTTGTGGCTGAGTTGCTGTTGTTCCCAGTAGCTTCTATGTTATAATGTTATAATACCACTAACAGGTGACCGTGGAATATTTAGTAGCAAGGAAATTTCACAGATGGACTTTTTGCACAGGTGACAACCTATCACGGTACCACACTTGAATTCACTGAGCTCCTGTAGAAGCAGTCTGCATGCCGAGGTGCGTGATTTTATATACCTGTGGCCATGGAGGTGATTGGAACACCTGAATCCAATGATTTGGAGGGGGGTCCCAATACTTTTGGCAATATAGTGTATATGAGCTGGCTGGACACCCTGTTCCAAAACCAATTACTTTATTATGGAGCTGACTCCTCTTTGTGGCTATAGCAGCCTCCACCCTTCATGTCTGTGGGAATTTGTGCCCATTCAACCAAAAGTACATGCGTGCAGTCAGGTTCTGATGCTGGATGAGAAGACCTGGTTCTCAATCAGCATTCCAATTCATCATAGAGATGTCCAGTAGGTTTGTGGTCAAGGCTCTGTGAAGGACACTCGAGTTCCTCCACACCAAACTGGTCATACCATGTCTATATGGCTTTGTACACCTGAACTAAATAAATTTGTAGCGGTGTCCACATGACCATCTGGTGCAGTTGTGCCTGGAGTTCAGCAATAAGCTTATTCCCTAAGACTATATGGTTGACCAGTGCTTCCCCTTTAAATTGCAACTTACAGGTTAATCAGCAGCGGAGCTCCAGGTGACAGGTATGCCTTCAGGTCACAGTTAGACAGCGGTTTGTTTTGACTTTCAAAGTAGTTGTGCTTCTTATCAACTTGCCTGGAATCTAATGCAAATGGTTCCTTTGCATACTGGTAGCCTATCATAACCTGTAAGGCTGTTTAGCTTAAACAAGGACAGTGTCATACGTTATACAGAGCTGGAGCTTACATGCATCGTATTGCCATGCACCAATAGCAAGAGCCTTTTTGTATGAACTCATTGCGGGTGATGAGAGACAAGAAAACTACCTGTGTTGCCCACAGGAGCCAACTACAGTCCAACAGGCTCTTTTAATACATATTTTAGAAAGTGACAATGGAATTTGGGCACTGTAAGCGAAAACTTTCTTTGTTTGAAGATTTTAAAGTATTATTAAAGTAAACCTTTCAGTGAAGCTGACATTGAAGTGAATCTACACCCAACAACAAAATGTAGTATACTGCAGCTTACCAGTCTTTTGATGGCTGTATTAGCAGTGGCGTCACAAGGGGGTGCGGCCCGCACTCAGGTGACACCATTGGAGGGGTGACACCAAAATGACCGACAGTAATTTTGGTGTCACCCCACTCTGAAAAGCCGGGCACTTGGTCATGGACCGAGTGCCCGACAGTTTAGGGAGAGAGGAGGGGACTCGGCGGCATACCTTATCCCTCTGGGTGATTGTCCCCTCCTCTCTCTGCCGGCGTTCATCACCAAGATGGCCGCCGGCAGGTAACAATAAGATCGCCTCCGCGGGGTGTCACCCGGTAACCACTCCGGGTGACACCCGACCTCGGGACGCCCCTGGTATTAGTATCCATTTTCTGGCATCAGCCAGTAACATGCTTTATGTCCATCAGCAAATAACAGACTTCCTGTCGTAGAGTAATAACACCCACTCGTTCTATTGTATCTATGGACGAGCAGCGTTGTCAGGACTTCAGAACACCCAGGGCCATCCCTATAATAAGGCAACCTGAGGATAGTGCCTCAGGCGGCATCTCTTTGGGTCAGTTGGGAGGGTGGCAGGCAGACCATCCTACACAATTTTTACAGTGTCTTTCCGGCCAGAGTGCCCCAGGTTGCTAAAAGCCAGGCAGGAGAGCCAGACACCTCTCCCCACCACCTGGGTTGCCCTGGCCAGTGTCTCGCCCAGCTCCTGGCAACCAGTAATGTCAGTGAGCTGGGCAGGATGTTGGCCAGAGCTGGTGAGATGACCCCCACAGTCTTCCCCCCCATTAGCGAGCACCACCAGCACCCCATCAGCCCCCCAAACATGCACCACCAGTACACCTCTCCCACCACCACCTAAGGGGGTAAAAGGTCTAGAGACACCCCTGAGGACACCTACCCCTCTCTTCTTCTCCATAACATAGTGGGAGGGTTTCTGATGTCCACAGAGATTGTTGTTTGAACAATGCTAACTATTAACAGTGTAGCACAGGCAGAGAGCACAGCTCGCAGATTTCTGGCAGAACCATCCGGCATTTTTTGCATTTACCAATCAGATATAAACGCTTCTAATAGTATATTTAACAGACCAGTAGGAAGCAAATTGGAGAAGTTCATTGTTAGGGTTTACAACATACACCTTAAAAAACTTTTCAGGACCTTTTTGACAAATATAAACCAGTCCAGCAGGAACCGTTCTTTGATCCTCAGTCCTATCAGGTGTATGATCGCTCATCCAGAGATCAGATAAGAGTTTCCTCCAGTAACAATGGCTAGCGTTGTATTGACATAATTGGCATTTTACCAGCATTGATGTGATAATTATCGGGATTAAAGGAAACTTATTAGTATAGGTGTAGGAAGCACTTACATCCTGCGCCTCCATTTCAATGGCATAAGATTATAACTGTCCGCACCTGGCTTGTCTTACTTTCTCACCTGTAAATGCAGGCTTTGTATTCAGAATATAAGTTATTTGTACAATCTCGTCCCTTTCATTAGGATGGGAGTCCCAGCTTTTGGAAACAGGATTTCTGGGAATCTTTCTGTGCCCTGTGTGGACTCTGTCACGAGTACCTGAACGAACACCCCCATCGGGTATTGTCATCTGGGGATTCCGTTGGCTCATCTTCCGCATCATGCTTGGGGCGGTAAGTGTTCATGGGTACTGTACTGCACTGTTAGGGTGACAAAGCACCATCTAACATGTCTTCCTCGATAACTTTGTTCTAGCTACTAACCTCTAGTAGACACCTGCAATCAGAGCCGTAGCTAGCTCCTTTTGCGCCCGAGGCAAGAACAGAAATTGTGCCCCCCAACAGATGTGTGCAGTATGTCACGTCATCTGCTCCGCCTCCAGGATGGCGGCAGGCATGTGCAGAATCCAAAATAGCATAAAAATTAGTTTCGTTTGACAAAACTAATGAAAACATTTTTAGTTTCCGTTCATTTTGTCCGAAACAAATTTTTAGTCTTTGCGCACGTCTAGTAATATGTGTGCGTGTGTTTTTTTTTTTTCTTTTTTTTTTTTACTGTTGGGGGGGCTTCTGGGAAATATTAGGGGTCTAAACAGACCCCTGACATTTCCCTTTTGAAATAGAAAAAGAGATTGAGGACACTGAGTCCTTTGCCCATATAGACGGGGGAGAGCAGCAGGGATCCGAGGAGAAGCTGTACCCTGTAACGCTCCTCTTCTCCCTGCCGAGCCACGGCTGTGTTGGCCACCTGATGCCCATGTTGCCAATGGCACCTTGTGCTTGCCATGGCAACAGGGGAGAGGGGGCACAGCCATGCCGGCCCACGCAATCGCACCCACCGTGCATTCTGGTGGGGGAAGTGTGTTGGGTTGCCATTCATTTGAATGGTACTCCAAATGCACCTGCCACACACAGCTTGTATGCCCACACCGGAAAGCCCAGTGCCCTAATTCTGTGCATTCCACTGCAGTGCAAATTGGGTCGCGACTTAATGACCAAGGACAAATGTGGGTCCTGAGGTTACACGGGTTGAGAACCACTGCTCTAAATGACCTAGTGGAAAAATTGTCAGTTTAGCAATGCCCAGAGCCAGACGTTAGCAATGAGCCTGTGTGCCTCCTAGGATTCTGGGTAATCACTGTTATTATCATAGGGACAGTAATTATAACCTGCACAGTCATGTGACCAGCTATTGTGCCAGCACTTGGCATGAAGACAGAGTCCACACTTAGTTGAACACTGAAGCAATCCTTATCAGACGGTATAGTGTGAGGCTTTTAATCCCACATGTTGTACGTACGTGTTTTTCCAAGATAACAGAAGATTACCCTATAAAATAATAAAATGGTAGAATACAGAGGGTTTGTCCCAGGCTGCTTTCTTTGGCTCTGCTGAGGTGCCTTATCTGCCTGAGCTGCTTCGGTATCAGGCCAAGCAGATGTGTAATCCTATAGGCTTTCTTTAGGTGCAAAAGCAAAGGTTGTAAAATCTGGCATTAAAGAGAAGCAGGGCTGCTTCGGCATCGCAATACAAACAGAACTCCTATTCCAGAACAAAGACGGCACCAGTTCCCCCTTCACTTCATGACCGACAGCCCATCTACCAAAACCTTCACCCGAGAAAAGACTTAACACTTCCGTCTCTGGCCTGGCTTCTGCTACAGGGATATCTGCAGCTATTAAAGCTGAACTCCAGGCAAACAGCTAAATGTGCAATTGAACGGTATATACGGGAAATACAAGGATTTGTATTTCACTCTAAAAAGTCCAAAAATATAGAGTTTCGTGACCTGACTTTTCTCTGCTGCAGTCTAGTAACACATCTTGGTCATCCCCACCCCCAGCCTATGATTGGATAATGAAGAAGCACCAACAAATGTGTCTTAAACATGTTCCGTGTGTTTTCGACTCACCTGATTTGGCCCCAAGTATGCCCCTTCCTCTCTTAGTCAGAATGTTGCTGTATAGGAGATTATAAGAGGCAGAAATTGAATCAAATTCACTTTTTTCCTAGATGCATTTAAAGAAATATATGTAATGCATCAGTTGGCCCCCCATGTTTTAAAGAATGTTTGTGCACAAATAGGGCAGCAGGGTGGTTAGCCTTTCTTGCCTGTCACTACTGTGCTCTTAGGTTCCATTTAGACCAGTGAGCACTGTCTACATAGAGTTTGTATGCTCTCCCTGTGTTGGCATGGGTTTCCTCTCACCACCATAGAAACACACTGGTAGATGAATTGGCATCTGCCTAATCTGGCTGTAGACTTCAAGCCTGGACAACATACACTTCATGGCCAAAGGTTTGTGAACACCTGAGTTTGTTGGATACTTCATTCCAAAACCATGGAGATTGTTATAGAGCTGTTCTCCACCCCCTCACTTTGCATCTATAACATCCCCTACTCTTCCGGGAAGGCTTTCTACAAGATTTTGAAGAGTGTCTGAGGCTGGCTTCACACCTAGGCGTATTGAATATGCGCGTTTGTCGCAGTAAAAAAACCACGCGACAAACGCGCGTTTCCGAGGCCTACTTGGCTGTATCCCAATGGAAACGCGAGACCAAAAGGCCCCAAAGAAGTACATGTACTTCTTTGGGCGTAGGCCGTTTTGTAGTGCGTTCAGACGGGCTGAAATACGGAAAGGTGTGAACCATACCCATAGAAAACAATGGGATTTTCAAGTTTGTACATTTTGTAGATCGTTCATAGAGCGTTGAACGCGCGACAAACGTAAAGGTGTGAACAGGGCCTGAGGGAATTTGTGGCCAATCAGCCAAAAGAGCATTTGTGTTCAGTAGGGATGCACCGATACTAGTATTGGTGCCAATACCGAGTATTTGGGTGAGTACTTGTACTTGCCCAAATGCTCTGATACCTTCCCCAATACCGAAACTTCCGGTCAGAGGAAGATTGCTTTAATTTTACCTTTCACATAAACAGTTGCTCAGGTTCCCAGATGATGTTGGTTGAAGGTCTCCTCCTCTCGTAGACCTCTGTGAATTGCAGAGGTCCTATCTTTTGGAGGCCCGCCAATTTTGGAGTGTGTCTGTAGGAACTACTGCCCATTCAGCCAAAAGAGAATTTTTGAGGTCTGGTACTAAATGGGCTTTAGACATAGAGATGTTCCTTGGTCTGATCATAAACAAACAGATTAAGTCATTGTTTTGCTGGAGGTCTATAGACACTTTATGGAAAAATTAGGTTTGAGTGCAGAGCTATTCACCTGGCCCAATAAAAGCTGATATTGCTTTGTGATGCATCTTCCCTTTCACATAAACAGGAGTTGCTCAGGTTCCCAGATGATGTTGGTTGAAGGTCACCTCCTCTCGTTGACCTCTATGAATTTCAGAGGTCCTATCTTCTGGAGGCCCGCCTCTTTTCCTTGTCACAGTACATGAGCGCTCAGTGACAGGTTTGCAGGAATGACGTTGATAGGGAAGGGATGGGAAGACCATTAGCTGGCTGTGTAATCCCCACGATTAGGAGCCTGTGATTGATGGCTCTAAAGTCACCGTGAGCCAAAACACTTGCACGTTTCCTTCTCGCACAGGATAATGATCCTGACAGGCGCTATAAAGCACGGCTGATGCGTGAAAGCAAAGTTTCCTTCCAGGCACATGTGCACCTGTTTGGGGAGAGGGGGGTGCAGGTTTTATGATTTGTGTCTTGAGCCAGCTGAGACCTGACACATGTACACAGACCTTGGCTCCTTATTCAAGCCGGGCTGACCCGCTGTCCAAATTATACTGTAGCTTAAATTATTATATTGGAGAGGCAAAGGGAGGGCTCTTATTTTTCTAACGGCTAAGAATAAATCGGAATACATGCAAACGTTGCTGTGGAGGGGCACTGCAGTACAGGAGTATAAGTCACAGTATGTGGAGGGGTACTGCAGTACAGGAGTATAGGGCACAGGATGTGGAGGGGGACTGCAGTACAGGAGTATAAGTCACAGGATGTGGAGGGGGACTGCAGTACAGGAGTATAAGTCACAGGATGTGGAGGGGGACTGCAGTACAGGAGTATAAGTCACAGGATGTGGAGGGGGACTGCAGTACAGGAGTATAAGTCACAGGATGTGGAGGGGGACTGCAGTACAGGAGTATAAGTCACAGGATGTGGAGGGGGACTGCAGTACAGGAGTATAAGTCACAGGATGTGGAGGGGGACTGCAGTACAGGAGTATAAGTCACAGGATGTGGAGGGGGACTGCAGTACAGGAGTATAAGTCACAGGATGTGGAGGGGGACTGCAGTACAGGAGTATAAGTCACAGGATGTGGAGGGGGACTGCAGTACAGGAGTATAAGTCACAGGATGTGGAGGGGGACTGCAGTACAGGAGTATAAGTCACAGGATGTGGAGGGGGACTGCAGTACAGGAGTATAAGTCACAGGATGTGGAGGGGGACTGCAGTACAGGAGTATAAGTCACAGGATGTGGAGGGGGACTGCAGTACAGGAGTATAAGTCACAGGATGTGGAGGGGGACTGCAGTACAGGAGTATAAGTCACAGGATGTGGAGGGGGACTGCAGTACAGGAGTATAAGTCACAGGATGTGGAGGGGGACTGCAGTACAGGAGTATAAGTCACAGGATGTGGAGGGGGACTGCAGTACAGGAGTATAAGTCACAGGATGTGGAGGGGGACTGCAGTACAGGAGTATAAGTCACAGGATGTGGAGGGGGACTGCAGTACAGGAGTATAAGTCACAGGATGTGGAGGGGGACTGCAGTACAGGAGTATAAGTCACAGGATGTGGAGGGGGACTGCAGTACAGGAGTATAAGTCACAGGATGTGGAGGGGGACTGCAGTACAGGAGTATAAGTCACAGGATGTGGAGGGGGACTGCAGTACAGGAGTATAAGTCACAGGATGTGGAGGGGGACTGCAGTACAGGAGTATAAGTCACAGGATGTGGAGGGGGACTGCAGTACAGGAGTATAAGTCACAGGATGTGGAGGGGGACTGCAGTACAGGAGTATAAGTCACAGGATGTGGAGGGGGACTGCAGTACAGGAGTATAAGTCACAGGATGTGGAGGGGGACTGCAGTACAGGAGTATAAGTCACAGGATGTGGAGGGGGACTGCAGTACAGGAGTATAAGTCACAGGATGTGGAGGGGGACTGCAGTACAGGAGTATAAGTCACAGGATGTGGAGGGGGACTGCAGT